CCCCCCCCCCCCCCCCCCCCACCCCCACCCCAGCCTCGGAGTCTCTCCCCCCTCCAGCCCCTACCCGCTTCCTGTCGGGCTCTGGCTGAAAAGACGAGCCAAGCAGGCCAGGGGATTACAGCCACGGGGGTGTCTGTGTGTGCGTGGGGGGCGACGAGGAGAACTGATGCGCAAGTTTGAAGGGGGGGGGGGGGGGGCAGGGTCCCTGAGCTCTGCCACAGGAGAGACTCCCCCGTCCGCCGCCCAAACCGAGGGCCTTTATCGGGCCGAAAGCCGGTTTTGTCGCACGGCATACGTACCACCACCATGAGTGCAGGAATCCGGGGGGCTCTCCCAGCGTGATGTTCTTCTCCCATCGGATCTGCGGGCGGCAGAGTGCAGGGATCAGACAGGAAGCGTCTCCCCCTGATCCCGGACAAGCTTACGGGGGGGGCGAACCGAGAGAGGCCGGCGTTCTCCCGTCTAGGATTTCCCCACAGTCAGCCCCGGTGAAAACAATCACAGATTAACGAGGCTGCTCCAGGAGTTGCCTCACAGAACCAGGCCCGACTAAATTCACATCACTGGGGCTGCGAGCCAAATTGCATTTCAATTAATGACACGTTTCCACTTGATGCAGGATCTACAAAATCTACCGAATCTTCAGAGAATACATCAATCACGTTACACTTTAACGAGATTGCAAGCTTCACTACTGAAGCACACAGTCATTTTAATCAACTAATATTACATTCAAGCCCCTGTGTTTACATCATTTATAATTTCAACATTCACAATACAAGCGCATACAAGTGTACCAATGCCTGTAACATTTGTAAATTTCATACCTACTAAACATTTCTTTTTTGGTTAAATCCCAAACAGAGTGGGACAAACAGTACACTAAGGGCTGGTTCTGTGTGTTCCTTTAATTCTGCTTCGGCCAATCCCAACAAGCTGGAGGTAAGCACCTCACCGGGGCGGTGGGCCGTGGCGGACGGCCAGCAGCGAGGCATGCGGCACCATCCCAGCAAGCGTGCGGCCTGCACACAGAAGCAGCCTGGCGACACTTGTGTACAAGACAGCGACAGACGTTCTAGGCCACCTAGTACCGGAAACCAACAACGCAACGGGGGTAATGCCAAGTATTTATGTTCCATAATGCCAGTTTACCACTGCCTGGCCACAGTATGGGTTCTAAGATTCCATATGTCCGTTGTTTAAAGAATTTGTTATACGTGACTGATTTATTCAATAAAATCAATCATCGAGGTGGTTGTGGGGGCTGGGGGGGGGGTTAGGTCACAGTGTGCCATGTTTGTGATACAGACATCTCGCATGTGGGAGAGAGATCACGCTTCATGAGAAGCAGAGGCGTTGAGAAGGTGCCGGAAGGATTAACTGAGGCCCCAGGACAAGGGACAGCCAATGTGACTCAGGTACTACTCCCTGCGGAAAACCAAAGGGGAACAAAATCGCCTGCTTCCTGGTGGGGTGAGAGAACATGGAGCAGACACTATACTGGCCGTTACTAGAGCGGGCGCAATACCCACAATGCACTGCCAATACGGAAGGTCCGAAATAGGCATTAAGTCATAACCTGTCACGCGTCACATTACGGACATGTGACATACCTCACGTTCTGCAGGTCAAAAACAATAAGTGGAAACTGGTCGTGTTTGTGAGCAGCATGAGGGGGTTAGAGCCAGCTGAGGGGAGCAACATGTGCAACATTTCTCACGGGGGGGCATATTGTGAGATGTACACTAAGAGGAGCACGTTCAGTCACGTGCAACAAAGACATCTGGGAGAAAGGCAGGAGGGAAAATGGACGCGCAAGAATCTGACCAGAGTCCATTAAGTCATTAAAACAATTGTATACTTACAGTCAGGCCAGAACTATATCTGAAACAAAGAATGGGCAAAATCCCCAAGAGATCCTCAGCTCACTGCTGAATGGGCTTTTTTGGGCACTCGGGTTAAGAACACGTTATTAACCAATTTCACCCGTCCAACCTTTCAGCGGCTGAGATCACACCCTCCCTCCTGCATGTGGCAGCACTTACGAGAGCCCAGGGGGGGGGGGGGGGGCGGGAACTGCTGAGGGCGGTGTAATACACCGCAGGGCTGCAGGGCGACCCCTTACCCGAAGGATTTGGGGATGCTGGTGCGTGTTAATCTGGGCCGATCGCTCGCATCCTTTCACACAGGCCTGCCGAACCCTGCTCTAAAGGCTGCACTACACAATTACAAAATTGTTAAAAACATTTTTTTTTTCCTTAAAGATATCAAAGCAGCGATATCAAAATTATTTCTGTTTTAGACAATGTCTAAAAGGTAAAAATAAATCTAATTTCTTTACCAGATTATAAAACTGAATTTAACTATTATTTAACCTAGACGACTTTAATCCAACCCTAATGGAAATGAGACCAGCGTTACCCGATTCAGCATCTTTTTCAGGATTTACATTTCCGGAAGTTACTCACCTCCGACAGGAAGGTCTGTGCTGATTTCTGTGCTCCAACGTGCAGTAAGTACTCGTACACATATAAAGCTAACCTGAAAGACAAGGGGGGTGGGGGGGGGACTTCTGTTAGAACCTCCACTCTCTCCCCGGAGTTGCCCCTAATTCCCAGGAGAGAAAACACCTTTCCTGCAGAAAAGTTATGACAAGCAGAGCAAATTGCTTTAGCAAACGTGGCACGGAGCGTCGCCACAACATGACACAGAGTCTGAAGTCGGCTTTTTGAAGAAGCCACATCGGCATGCAGACAATAACTATCAGCCACTTATGGTTTTTTTTTTTACCAGCCAGTACAAAAAAAAGGGACCTTATTGTCTTAGCAACACATTTACACACGTATCCCACAACTCTACGACACCGAATGTCTTCTGCACTATTTACTCTCTGTACCGGTCACTTCAATTCAGTAGCTTTACATCATTTTCCCCCCCACGCAAGTTGCACCTTCCCTAATGTTCTCGAGCGGCTGAAGTTAAGCCCGCTGTTCTGGCCACACTGCCACCAGCCACAGCTTCTGTGGACCCGCCAAGGAGGTGCGATGCACCGCAGTCATGCGGCAATCCTCACCTTTACCTACAGTACAAATATAACCCTTAGATCCCAATCCTAACAATACGACACTTAGACTGCTTGGGAGCTGACTGGCAACGTTGCCCTAGGCGTTTCTCCAGTGCGTGAAGATTAAACCACCATCACTCTAAAACAGCACAGACGTTCACAGAGAACACCATCTTTCATCCCAGTCACATGTCATCCAATCACTTACCCCCCCCCAACCCACATCCTTGTGGGCTACAGCTCACTTTACGGCTTCTATATTGTAACTGATTTTATACTGATTTTACACACACACACACACACACACACACACACAAACATATACACACAAACATATACACACACACACACACATCATTTGCATAATAATCTTTTTTATGATTAAGTTTATTTATAAGTGGTTCGACACCATGTTGATTCATATTCCGAGCACAGTGATATTCCAGGTCTTTTTCCCCAAAGTCTGTCTCCCACGCCTACATGAGCCGGTTCACATTGTCATTCACAATACTGCCGTCCCCACAGAAATGTCCCTAAACGCTACTAGACAAGGCATTTTTCATTAAGGTCCCCCCTTGACTGAGTCTCCGATTTACAATTAAAACAATAAAACAAAATGTACTTTCAACAAGTGCCTTTATTTATTTACTTAATTGAACGTTTCAGTTATCTTTTCCAGGCACTTACATTTACATTTTACTTATTTAGCAGATGCTTTCATCCAAAGTGAGATTGGAAATGCTGGGGGAGCCAATCCCTAGAACATTTGGGTTAAGGGCCTTACGAAGGAGAACTACAGTGAAATCATTATGCTGACGACATGATTTGAACCAGAGACCTTCCGATCTTGGGCACAAGGTCTGAACCTGCGAAACGACACACTATCCCAAACAGCGAAAGTGTGAGGCGACCGGGCTAAACAGTAAAGCCACTTCAGGTAGTTTCTACATGCCAGATAATACATTTTGTGTAAGCATAGTGTTAATTACTACTTATTAAATTACCCTAATAGGCTAAATACGCTCTAAATAAATAAATCTGGTGCTTAGTCGGGTGTTGATTTCTGACCTGTTAAATGAGCAGTTCACATAGTTGGTACGAGGGCACAACCTATTCACCTTAAATGGTCTTCATCCTTCATACGGTGTATAATGGGGTCTGCCAAGATTTCAGCAGAACTGTCATGCACAAATTCAAGGGAAGGGAGACTGTCAAGCATGACAAGAGTCATGAAGACAATGACCAGATGATGCTCCTTTAAGTTTATCGAATGGATGTCACCTAGACTGACAAACACCCAACGAATAAGACACGTGTAAGAGTCCGTCTTCTGCTGCGCTCCAATATCTGTCTTTGGAGGAAATAAGACATTTTACAATTTAGATTTTTTCAAATTTATTTTTATTTTTAATTTCACAGCATGTCCTCTTTAGTACACAACAGGAATAAATATGGTTTCCTAACATCAGTGAAAATATAGATGCAAAAACAAAATGTCCACTGCAATGGACATAAATGAATGGGTGGGATCTCAGGAGGGTATAGAAATACAACAGGATGTACTTCACATTCATCTGGTGTAACCTGCTGAAGGTTTGATTCCATGTGTTGCGCACATCTATGCCATCGTCGTTAGAGCTAAACAAACTGAATGTGCTCAGAGGGATCTGGGCACTAAGGGGGCACAGAAGGCACACAGACGCATGTTCTGGGCTAAAACAGACCCTTTTCTTAATCATTTGACAAAAGATAAACCTGAAATTCCACGCTGACTGACGCCAAGGGCCCACTTGTGAAAATCAGTCAAACAACACGTCTACCACAGCCTAGGCCGTTCAATGATGATCTTAAATGCTTTGGAAATAACCACCTCACGGTCAGTCATAAAAAGTGGGAAAAAGGAGAAAACGATCCCATAACAGGGGCGTTAGAAATGCTGCAGGCTTCAATGCACGCCGGCTGCAAAACCAACGCGCTCTCTGTTCCAGCACACAAGCACCAAAGCAAGTGATCCTACCGAGGACCCCCCCCCCCCCAAACCAGCAGCATGAAAATGGATACCAAATGCAAAAAACATGAACCCAAGAATACACAACTTCAAGACTTCTTATTGTAATTGTACAGTTGCCTGGACAACAAAATTAGCTGGCAAGACCACAAAGATGCAAGAAAGTGACATTGTCAGTACAAGATATAAGAACAATATAAAAACACAATATACACAATGTATACGTACAAGAGACATTGGGGGGGGGGGTATATGCAAGGGTATCATAAATATAATAAATGAGGGAGGGAAGGGCTACAGTCAATAGAATCAGCCTGCTCCTATCCGTTTGACAGCGGTAATAAGACTGTGAACCGACAGTTACACGACAGTTACACTTCCATAGGTATGGCACTGCACGAGAATGTCAACTGCACCCAAGCATCCCCTTACATGAGAGATGGGACCACAGCAGGGCTGCACGATATCACCAGGCTTTCAGGTGATGGGCGCACACATTTGTTTGGATGCCGGTTTTTTTTGGAAAAATACAGTCATTTACTTACGCCAAAAATTTGGTAAGCAGATTAGTACTGTGCCTAAAATATTAACGAGGCCCAAAAGTTAGTCGTCTGTATAAATATCCTGTACTAATAAACGTTTTAAACTTTAAATTGCAAAAAGTACCATCACACCACCAACTGTTTGCCAAAAAAAGTAGCATGTGGCGTGCGGCGTGCCCCGCAAACCAAATTGAATAAACATAGGATATACTGTATTCATACAGACTGCTTTTGGGCGTCACAAAACGCATCTCATTCATATTTTAGGCACAGTACCAAGATGCTCACCAAATTGTTGACTTGAGTGAATGTCCATATAGCATTGAAAAGCCGGCAGCCGGACACACACGTTATCTAAAGTCCAGGTGATTACTGCGCATGCGCCATATGAGATCGATTACGTCGCAGTGAGATGTCACGCAGCCCGAGTCCTAGGGGAAACGGAAGGACCAGAGGAGAAAATAATAAAATCAAAAGAGGAGAAAAAAAAAAAACAAAAAACACTGGCGTATGCAGTGAAGAGGCGCGCGGTAACGTGCATGAATTAGCATGTGAAGGAAGGGGATCGGTGGCAAACAGACCCCACACATGCTGCCTGTGGCACTGGCACCGAAATCATAGTCCTCCCTTCTACACATCTCACTTTCAACATTAGTCACAGGAAGGGGCCCCCCACCCCACCCCGTCCCACCCCGTCCCACCCCACCCGACCAGCGCTGCTAAGAGCTAAGAGCCGTCTGTGATGGAGATCGTCAACAAGAGGGGCAGCAGGACGGAGGGCAGCACGCGGCGGCTGCAGGCAGGCAGACAGTCCCGGGGGAGGGGCCCCCGCGATCTGGCTTTATACTCCGGCCCTAAGCTCAGGGCCACCAGCCCCCACAAAAAGCCTGCCTGCTTCCAAACCGTTGGGGAGGTGGGCACACTGGAAAGTCACGCGACATTCACGCCACGGAGCCAGCCAAAATCTCACCCGACGACACAAATTTAAGCACGAGTTTACAAATCAGTCAGCAAGGAGGCTTAGCAAGCTGGGGAGACCCAAACAACATCCGCAAGTCAACGTTCGGCGTATTTATGCAACGCGTTTATTTAGGCGGTATTAAGAAGCAGAATAGACCTGGCAGCGGCGATGAAAATAAACCAGCCGTCTAAGTAATAATTTCTTTAAAATAAATAAATAGATAAATAAATAAATAAATAGATAAATAAAGCGGCAGAAGCCACAGGACAGAGAAACGAAGAAATTCAAATTCAAAACTGTTCAAGTTCACACGTTTTAAAATAAGTCAAACATACTGTTATTCATCTACATTTAATCCGACAATAACCCTATAATAATAAATTAGCTAGCTTATAATCTTCTTGACAGCCTCAGAGAAAGCAGCCCGGCCCACAGGAAATAAAAGCCTATGTTACAGAATGCATTAGGTACTCAGGCGGCTTGTAGCACACAGTATAATAATTCTTCCACTCTTGCGCAAAGATATTAGAAGCTTCCATCAGTGCTAGTCTTTCCTTAGCTTGATTTGAACATTTCAACAAGCATGGAAGCTAATTTCACCATGTGCGCATATAGAGGCGATTAGCTCAGTGAGGAATAAGGTTGTGATGCTGGCCAGACACCAGGCACATTTTGCATGCCATACAGGTGGCGAACAGACCGAACTGGCGTTTTACTAGTAGCTCAGTTTTCAGCTTTTGCATAATGAATGTTACAGCGATGCTCGTTTAGCTTTTAGCATTTTGCTAACGAGGTTTGTGTAGGCTTCAGCTGCACGTGGGGTTTGCATTACCCAAGCGCAACCCCAGCCCCATGAGCTTCAGGGGAGCTTATACCACCTTGTGCAAAAGATCAGGGGGTTTTTGCTGGAGAAGAGACAGGCGAGAAACGGCAGCAAGATACGCGAAGTGCGCAGCCTGACCAAGC